AAGTCTCATCTTTTTTTTCTTCTTTACATCTTTTAATTGGCAAATTATTTAGAAAAGACATTATTATACTTGGAATAAATTTTCTTAATATTTTATGCATTCTATTTATCATATGTTCTACAAAATTTGTTTTTCATTGTTCTTCATCTTTATGCATTTGATATCATAATATATCCTATAGATTATTTTTTTTTTTTATTGTATCAATAATAACTTTATAAAATTCATGCTTTGTAATTTTTATGATTTCATCAATTATAAATGCAACCTTTTGACTTAAAATCCGCTCTTCTAATGCTTTCTTCAAATTTGTAGCAATTTCAATATCTGATTGTAATTTATAAGCAAGAGCCTTTGCTTATTCTTTTATAATTTTTTTTTTTTTTTGTAGAAATGTTCTTTATTTTTTTATATATATAGGATTCTTTTGTTGTTGTTATTTTTCTCTTCTTATAGTTCTTTTTGATGGCCCTTCATTATTTTCATGTCTCTTTTATTTTTCTTCTATTAATACTTCATATTGACTCCTTACAATATGAGCATGTATTAATTATCCATCTATTGGATCATCCCACCTAATAATTTATTGAATATTATTGCCAACAAGTTTTAAATCGCCTCTAGTAAAAAAACAATTTTCAACATAACTCATAGCATTTGTCTACAAAGAACTAGGTTTTTCTATAAATTTTAGATTTATGCTTAAATATTTGCCTAGATTTACTTCCATCCAATATGTTGATGCTTCATTTCTTAATATTTTAAATACTTTTTTTGTAAGTACCTTCATTCCTTCCTTGCTAAAGTTTGTCTTTAATTATTCTCTACTTTCTTTTAAATGTATCATATCTTCTTTAAAAAAAAACAACTCCTTTGCATAATGCTTCTATAAAATCTACACATTCTCTTCTTGAATGATCAATACTATTACACTACATGCACCTATGTACTATATCTTCCATTGGTTTTGATTTTTGTCTTATTAATATTTTTGATAATTGATTATTTTCTTTAAGTTTTGTAAATTTTATTTATAAATCTCTCATTCCTTGTATAGTTTCATCAATGTCCATTTCTTCTTTCTTTGCTATAATCATTGAAGATTGAATTATAAATATAAGATAGGTAGTAGGCATTTTTACCTTAGATTCTTGCAATGGTCTTTGAATACCTCCCTTATCTTTTCTTCTTTCTCTTCTTATATGCAATTCTACTACTTCTTCTTCTTTCTAATTTGTTGTCAATTCTTTATCTTCTTCTTTATCTTTAAGCAAGATTTCCATCTTCTTCTGTAATTTTTTATTAATTACTTGAAAAAAAAAAAAAAAAAAAAAACTCCACTTAATTTGGATTTAATAATTAATTCTCTTTCTTTAAGAAATAAGAATATTACTTTTTAAACTTTTAAAATAATTTTGTTGCTAGAAGATCCTTTTTAAGCCTTTCAATCTCTTCAAAAAATGACTTTTTTGTAATCCAATCACTATCCTCTATGAAAAACTCATCCTTCAATGCTTGTGAAAAATTCTCCCATGAATCTCTAAAATGTTTTATAATAGACTTCATTTGATTTCTTATCTTTGGTGTAGTAACTAATTCAAATAATTGAACCATCTCCTTCTCTAAAACATGCTTCAATTCTATCTCCTTTACATAATACTTTAAATATTTTGTAATATCCTTTCCTTTATATTGATCAATCTTGTCCACAATTACTTGTAATGCTTTATTTGCCATATCTTCTTTGCAATCTTTTACTTATTATTGCTACATAAATAAGGCAAAAGCTTCAAACATGCTTGCGGAGTTGGAATCAATATACATATATTTTCTTCTACTTGTAGCTCCACTTCCAACTCTACTTAAAGCACCATCAAAAGCCTTTCCTTCCATTCTCTTGTCTTCCTTCTCTATAATTCAAATAAACCAAAAGGAATTCCAAATACCTTCTACTTGAAGCATTTCACATCAAATTCATCAAATATATTGTATTTCATGTGTTCTTACTTGAAAATGCAGTGGATTTGTAGCTGTGAAAGATAAGTAAAAATACAACAATAATTCTACCAAGTCTAATAAAATCTTAAATAAAATTCAAGTAATTCCTAATAAATCCAATAAAATTTTAATCTATCAAATTAAATTTAAAAGAAGTGGAAAAAAAAAAAAAAAAAAAAAAAAAAAACATAAAGAAGTCATGATTTAATCAATGAAGAAATAATTTCCTTAAATATTATTTTTAATCAGTAAAAAAATATTCTCTTGAAGCCAGAGGATTTTCATCTTTAAGTAATGAAATCAATATTGATTAGTGATTCAACCTTTTTCAAGCAAGTCTAATTTCGTATATCCTCTAATCTTCTTATTTATGATTTTAAGAATAATTCTTTTAAGTCTTATAATAATTCTTAGTTTGAATTCAAGAATAATCTATTATATTTTAAAGAATGATTATATATTCTAAAAGAAAAAGTATAATTATGTATTCTTTAAGCTGATCACAACTTTTCAACAACTCAGTATTTTGGATCTATTTAGACTTTGGAGTTAATATCTAAAGATTTTTAGTGGCTTCAAATGTAGAGAATAATCAAAGACTTTGTACAACCATGTGACATTTTTTTAAGATCAAAAACTCTTCATTATCAACTTTATGAACTTCTTTAGCTATTACATATTTCAAAACAACCATAGTCTTATGTTTCTATAGATTTTATTATAAAACTTCTAATCTTAGATTCTTATGATTCTATATTTGTGATAGTAGATTTTTTTTTAATGAGATTGCTTATTTTATATTATCTATAAAATTTATCATAAATAAATAAATAATTAAATTTTTCCTTGATAAAATATATCTTAATAATAAGTTGAATTATTGTAAGCGTTGATCATTTTCTTCTTGTAAACAAATTAATTTAATTACTTATTAATTACATCTATTAATGTCTATGAAAATCCATCATGTCTTTTATGTATTTCTTCTTTAACCATATAAGATAGTGAATAACTTGGAAAGAAGACAAATATTATATTTTCTTATAAAAATAGATAATAATCAAGAATTCGAGATAAAAGAAGTCATAGATTTAAGGTGACAATAAAATAGGTTGAAATATTTTGTACATTGGTATAGATATGATATTAATGAATGCATATGAGAGCCAAGAAAGAATCTTGCAAATGCAACAAAGAAGATTGATATTTTTTATTAATAATATCCATCAAAACTAAGATGAAGAATAGCAAATCTTTGCCATAAAAGAAACAAAATTCAAAGAAGATAATATTCTATTGTTTATCTTTGTTTTTAGTTTTTATGTATTTGTGGCGTTAAGGAGATGGAAAACCAATAATCAATAGATTCAACTCAAGAACTATCATTTGGTGACTTATTGGACAAAAAATTATGATTATTATAGCCTTCAAGATAATATAATAGAAATAAAGATCCTAAAGAACAACATCTTTTTTTAGAATAAATGGCAAGATACAATGCATTTGATATCACAACCTCAGAAGAGATTCTTGATATTTGGTGATTTTATTGGAAGTAAGAACAACTCTTCACGGTGTTCCAAATGTTTTATTTGAAAGAAGTTGCAAAGGCCTCAACAATGATTGAATAATACGATAGTCTTCTGGCCTTAATATGAAACACTATTGATAGCTGATATGTTCTTTGAACAATCTTCAAAGAGAATAAAGATCAAAGTATGTAGCAAACACAATTTGCTGGATTTTAGACTTCTTTAATATATGATGACTATTCCTTGTGGAACTTGTTTTTTGAAGGGAGAATAAAATCATGAACATACATATTTACCAAAATAAGAAGTACTAATTAGAAGGTAAATGTAAGTAGATTTAATATTATCTTATGGCATAGCTTCTTAGAAGCTTCATAGATGTATATTTGACTTTATACATGTTTATAGTTGTTTAATAGGTTAGAAATTTGACCAAAAAGTTAACCATGTATTGCATGTTTGGATAGCTTGTCAGTGAAGCTAACAATTTAGTGCACACATAAGAAACTTGTCTTGCAAGTTAAGATACATGTCTTGCAAATTGGACACATGTTAGAGGTCCTATAAAATGTTGCTATATAGCTCTCAATTAGATAGTATATATGGATGCAAGAGGGTAGCCCTCTTCACTCTTATCAATGCCATCCTAATTCTTAGGCTTATTTCAAGACTTTCTAGTCGTCTTGTCTTTAGCAATAGCCATTTTAATTTAATATTATACCATCTTTGAGTGATTTTTTAGTCTTTTTGAAAGACATAAGAATTTATTGACCTTTAAGTTCTTTGAAATTTATATCCTTGACACAATGATATATATTTAAATGATTTATACATAAAAATATAATATATAAATATAAATCTTAAAAAATTAATTAAAAATAAAATTATAGAGAATTAAATAATATATACATATTTTAAATTATACAATTATCAAATAAAAATATAATAGAATAATTATTGACAAAATAAAAATCAAAATAATTCTTATAAAAATAATAATAATAAAACAACTTTAATAGGATAATAATAACCTTAGTTTCACCTATGTACGTGAGTTGACAAAAAGATTCTATTACATAGAAGAATATTAATGAATATTCAAAATTAATATTATTACCATTTAAATTAAAAAAAAAGATAATGTATTTGGTAAATTCTATACATCTCTTTTAACAATCAATCAAACATTTTGTATGATCTACATGTTCAAAAAGATCAAGTTCATCCACATTCATTCAATTATTGGAATTTATCAACTCTAATAGAACCCAAGAAAATTACATAACACAATGCTCATTCTAGTTACAAGACACTTATCCAACAAAGACTATTGGTGTTTTTTTTGTGACGACCGAGAATGGTTTGTCTTTTCGATTAACCTCAGGGCCCTGAGGTAAACCGAAACTAGAATATAATCAAAGATACGGTCACCTGCAAGCTGTGCAAGATTCAAACAATAGAAAATTCTAGTGATCAAATTGCGTGGGTAAAATAGCTTCAGATATTAAGTTATGAGTAAACAGCCCAATGTTGATGTGTACTGTCGGTGTTTTGTGCTGCTTAGCTGTAGCACAAAGTAAAATTTGAGTACAAGATTCTGAGTTTGCACTACTGTTTGTGCAAACTCTCTGAACCTGACGAATTCCCTATAGTTTCCCATCAGAACCAGTACTAGAATTCCTCAATGTGCTTACTCCTACATAGGGTGAAAAACTCATGCAGAGGGTTGTTTAAGTTAAGAGCAACGTCTCTATTATCTAGTCACGAGAAGAGTTAGCAAATTTCGGAATAAGAACACCTCCAGAAGGGGATGCCGGATTAGTAAGGAAAAATCAAAATACGAGAAGGCTTACGTTCCGATGCTCTGTACACTCTGTCTCAATCTTTTCAATTCAGTATCTAACTTGAGCAATTCTTCTTGCAAAATCTTCACCCGACGTAGCTTTTCTTCAGCAGCATTGCGGTAAGGTGCTGCCAAGGTCTGGAATTCGGCTCTTACGGCATCGATGGATTTCTGCAGGTCGTCTTTCATGGCTTCCTCAATTTGTTTTGCAAAAGAGTCTGCAACCCGTCTAACTTTTTTCTTCGCAGCCTCCCTTTGCGATGGTAGGTTCCAAACCCCAACCAATCTGTCGAAGCAACGTTCACATTCAACATAATAAGGCAACAAAAGACATGTGCTCAACGCATGGTGCAGGTGAGGATATTCTAGAATCTGTAAGTGAAACATGACAATCGTAAGCACATGAACATCCACAACTACAAAATGTTTCAAGTGATGATGAGAATTTACCCTCCGGCTGAGCACACTCCAAGAGCAATAAGATCCTCCAGAGTGGTAGGCAAAATGGATGTTAGAACGGACGCTGATATTCCTGCTACTCCAACTCCACTAAATGTACTAAAGACCTGCCACAGTTCTCACGAGAAAGCACGTCATTCTCGAAGTTTCCTAACCTCACCACCTCAAGACATTATTTGAAATGATCCTGGAGTTTTTCCCGGTATATCGTGCAAATGCCATTAGTGCTGGCTGCAGTAATAGCAGATTCAGTTCGCAAAAGAATCTATTTTTCTGAAATCTATGAAGAGAACCCAAGGCTATTCGCAATAGAGTAGATAACAGACTCTTTTACCACTTCCTTGCATTCTTGTTCTAAAAGTATAGCGGCGGCATTGGTGTCGAAATCCTTCAGCACGGTCAGACTACTGTTGTTCTGTTCAGCCATAAGCTCTGTGTCTCTGTTCCGCAGCTCAACTAGTGGTAAGCTATCCGCACTCGACCCATATTCTTCTTTCGCCTGTGGCCACCTACTCATTATCAAAGATCGGTAACTGCTCAGTTGGCGGTTGCTGTTTGATTCAATCCAGTCCTTGTGTTCCTCCAGCGATTTCTGTAGCACACCACCGTTCTCGACATAAGACTAGAGCTAACTTCTTCTCATGGATCGGGTCCACATCCACACGCACTTAGCAGGATGATGTTGCACAAGTTCATTTTAGCGAACGACGTATCTAAAGTAATATTGTAGTGAGAAAAGATATTCCAAAACTGTACGACATAGATTAAGTTAATAGAAAAGACGGATCGAATAGAACACAGCAGCGCACCTGGAAACGTTTTTTTTTAAACCGAGACAGAGAGCCCGAGAGAGAGAGGAAGAAAGAGAGATTCGTACACACAGGCTTGAATATCAATAAAATACTACGCATCCATATACAAGAAAAATTAACTCATTTCAAACCTTGCAGTCGTATAGCCATGAAACTGGTAATTACCTGAGTCTCAGTAACAGCAGAGCCAATTACTTTGCTGTCGAAGCCACTTGATACAGGCATAGACTGAGCACGACTAGATCCAAGCAAATACTTCCGCACCGCTTCAACGTTAGATAACCGCAGGATTGAATCAACGAACTTAGTGGCACGTCCCTTGGCTGCTTCAATCTGCATGTCATGACAAAATCGTTTAAAATTTAAACACGCACACCTGTCATGCAAGGAGCTCGAGACTCAAAATCCTGCGCTCCAGTAGACCAACATTCACTACGCTGACATGAAACATCTACGGTGATTAGATTTGGACAAGGAGAGCCACGGAAAGTCAACAGCGCTACAAAATACAACAGCATGACACTATTTGAAAGAAGTCGATCAGTGCATGCGTACTGATTCCGATCGTCGAAATGATATTGACATTATGTTGTTGACACGACGATACACTCATCTTCAAAATTCAAGTTCTGATGTGTAAGATAAGCCAAAGGATGACGAGCAATCTGCTTGTAAGAAGTTCAGCCGATTAAAAGGTAAAAAATCCGACTTCCCAAGTTATGTTAAAAAGAAAGTTTCCCATAAAACTGCTAAAACGCGCACTTACCACTGCCAAGGTACGCTGTCTCTGAAGAATTGCACCATTAAGCATAGCCTCCTCAAATCTTTGCAGCTGCTTTAACACATCCTCTAGAGCTTTCAAATCGCTTTCAGCCTTAAAAGCCTCTGCTGCCAGCTGTTGGTCACAAGCCGCCAAAAGTGCAACGCTGATACCTAATGGAGTCTCTAACTTCAAACGCAGTCTCTCCGCACCCCTTTCAGAAGATGCCCCCATGAATCCAAAAATAAATTCCTCCAGCTCTTTGAAACCACTCGTAATCCAAAGAGGATCTTCTGACAAGCGGGCTACATCTACTGAGCCATCTTCTAGCTGGGCTGACAGCTTTGCTTGTAGAGCTTGGCGAGCTGAAACAGGATAGATAACTGTTTGTTCCACAGAAAGAAGCCGCTGAGCATTGTCTCTTACAAAGTTACGAACTTCCTCTACCTGTCCAAAGCCCTTCAATCAGTCGTTTGAGCTTCGTACGAGCATGGGAGAAAAATCAGTGCAAAGGGTCATGCTAAAACTATTCCAGATATATTCATGGGCGGTAAGAGGCATACCTCACTATATGTAGCTAAGGCATCTGTTTTGTTTAAGATAAAAACAACTTTCTTGCCCCATTGTCGAATGTAACGCAGAAATGTCACCTGCCAGCCATCAAAAGTAGTAAGAAGAATTACTGTCTGTATGGCTTTGGAAAATAGAAAAGAAAGAAATACGAAACTACAAACCGGTGATTTCCAGCTTGGGGTTACTTCACAAAAACCAAAATGTAGTAAGCACAGGTTTGTAGAGCATACAGAACATACATCCGATGCTGGTGTTCATAGCTGATATGTAATAAATTTAGACTTGTAATGAATGGCGTCGACATACCTCGCTCTCAGTCAATGCTCTGTCAGCTGATAAGACAAAGAGAACTAAGTCTGCTCTCGGAACAAACTCTTCCGTGAGGCGTTGCTGCCGCTGAAGGATGACGTTTGTACCAGGAGTGTCCACCAGGTTCATCTGCACTGTCCACCTCACTATTTCAATTTATGGCATTTCCAAGAAATATTATTCGCTGATTTCACGCCTATGAAACCCAATTTCAGATGAACCAAAAAATGTTATTTTCATGACGACTAAAAATAGATCATTTGATAATAGACAGTCGCCACTGTATATATCTGGGGCCAAATGATGGAGAATTCACCAGTTGAACCAGTGAATTATATCAAGGCATGACATGACAACTAGTAAGATACTGACCTGTTTGAGAAGACTAGCTGGCAAGAACCGTAAAAAATGGCCATCAGGATGGCGCTCTTCCCGCTCTTCTGTGACCTCTCCATCATTTGCATGTCGTAACAATGTAATTTCATTTGTTGTGGGCAAGACTCCTTCCTTCAAGTATCTATCTCCGAGGAGTGCATTTATGATGGACGATTTACCTGAGTTAAACTCACCCTGCCCAGCACCAATTTAAGCGACCAAACGTCTTTCAGGTTGTAACCGCTAACAGCTAATGCTGTCGAAAGGAACGAAGTTGACTTCATGGTTCATGAACAGATACCGTCAGGTTCGTAAAAATTTGCAATGAAGAAAAATAGCACTGGACTTTGAGATCAACAGGAATAGGAGTTCAACCTACTCAAAGTGAGGTGGTGTCGCTTACCACTATGACTGATAAAAATAGTTCATCCAACTGCTTCAGGGCATCGACCAGCAGCGAAACTTCCTCCATCTGAAAGTATGCAATGACTGATTCAGAAGAAATGGCTAGCGAACTCAATAGACATTTAACAGCTGGCGTACGCTCGTGTGTGTATATACATACACATTTATATAAACCGTGCACTAGATGTAGTATTAGTAGCTGCAGAAAAATAATCGACATACTCGGCTGAATTACAGAGGTTCAGCGACACATCGATGATTTCAACATTTACGAGAGACGGCATAATCAACAGTTCGAGCTTTGCACTCCACTACTAGTCGTTAGTTATCTTCGCAAACTTACGTCAGGTGATGCCTCCTTCACAAATGCAATCATATCTTGGAGAAGCACATGCTCTTCATCGAGAATCAGCTTCGCTTTCTTCTTCACGGAATCCTCTTCCATGTCAAGGTTCAATGCTTCGACATCCTCCGAAAGCTCAAAAAAAGCCCCATCCTCTTCCACGTCCACGTCTCTAGTCTGCACCCTCTTCTCTGGCAAGTTACTATCTTCCATTTCTGTCCTGTTCTTGATGGCCAGTTTGATAGAAGCAATCAAAGATGACACAAAACTGGGCAGGTCTCCTTCGCCAGCTTTTCTAATATCAATCGTATTCAGGACTAGACCATTTGCTCCATCCTGTAGGAGGTCCATTCCAGTATCTGAATGTGCAACCCCCGACCCTGAGATGTCTAAGAACACAGGGATAGTGATTCCATCACAGACTCCTTTAACGATACTTTTTTCCTTGTCGCTGACTTTTAAAATGAGTAGATCAGCTCCTTCGCCAGCAGTTGCTGTTAGAGCGGATTGAACTGATGACACACAGCGAGCTACTAGAGGTAATGCAGGTGTCTCCAACCCTGAATTCTGCATCATTCTCCTGGCTACCACCGCTGGCAATCCTGCACATATTTATTGCCGTTTAATCATGGAACTTTTTTGACCGCAACGGGACGAATTCATCAAATCTATATCGTTAAATACGCAAAAGAATGAGAAGAAGTAGAAGAAGGAAATCTGCGCTTGAAAACGGTAGTTTGAGAGAGATCCCATTGAGCTTTCTGCAGGAAACCAGATCACAGATAGCTACAGTGCTACTCCTCCCTCGTCCAGCCGTCCTAACTCTCCACCGCGTGATTTCTATTCTAGATGTTTACACGTATCTACTTCTCGATCGATAGAGACTTAGAGCTTACTTCAGAAACTTTCACTAGAAACATCTGATGACTAAGATCGGTACCACACGGACGAATCGCAACAAGAATAATAAACAGAAGCATGCTTCTGTAATGATGACGAGGGAAAATGCAGGTGAAGAAAAAAGAAATATACCTTCATCTGTTAGAAGCACTCCATCTGCTCCAGAAGCGGCAGCAATATCAACCCTCTCTGAAATCAAGAGCTCTGCCCTGCCGCGTAGCATCGTCTTCAGCATGCACCCTGCATCGTATAGCTTGGCACCTCCAGGTCCTGCATCGCTACTGTCTTCCAAAATAATCATTGTGACCCCTCCAATCACTGCAGCATTGATTTCCTCAAGGAGGAGAACCTTCTCTTCTTCACTTCGCATTTCCTCCAACCTAACGCGAAGAACTAAGCCTGGTAGACGCACTTCTGCTCTCCTCAAACCACCAGGAAAAACCCCTTTGGAAGACTGCGGTACCTCAGCTTCACTTAATTGATCTGAGCTTAAATCTAGTTCAAAACCGTCTACTAAAGAACATTTTGTCACTCCTGCGTGCCTCTTGAATGTCGATCTGCACCGAGACTCGGCGAGAAGAGTACATACTGATTCATAATTAGTTAGATTGATGTGATTACCATTTCCGTTGTTTCTACCTTCCAGAAATGTCCTCTCCTTGATCGCCTTGGGCAAAAAACCTGCCTAGAAAGAATACAAGAGAAACATTCAGCACATGAAAACAAAATCTCTGAAATGTCCATGAAACTAGCCGAATTCCCCATCAGATCCCGGAAAATCTGAACAGACTAGAGACAGGCTCTGACAAAACAGAAAGAATTTCATTTCTATTTCGTAAACACCTCCCACAAGATGGAAATTAAGCTCTGCGTCTACACAACATATCCAATTTAACAACACAAGACGCCTTCGCGCTGCCCTCCTAAACCTAGGTTACGATTTCAGAAGCTATGGCTGTCACATTGCGATGATTAGGAGATTTTGGATTGAAGAGCTTATGGTCAAATGTTTATACCTTTACATGACAATTCCTGCAACCAATACAACCTAAACCTGTCGTCAACTGCTCCACTCCCACGTTCAGTCTACGGCATTTCAACCTAATATATTGTCCTCCAACTTCAGACCTCGCTCCTTTCGACCTGAGAAGATTGCTTCGCAACCTGCATTGATAGTATGAAGTGTGCCTCTGCACTCCAGACACCTGTAACCAGCAGGTTCCTTAATAAGATTAAATGATCCATTCAAGAAATAACCACCATTCTAAACCCGTCCACTGCACGTGAACAGGAACCTGCAGTATTGGTTCTGGAGAGTTTGTTCATAAGCACGGAAATATTAAGAACAGTGATCCACACATTTTACTCTCATTTCCCAGAATCGAGGGTCTTACCGCATGTAATGATGGACAATTGCACGACGCCGACATGTTATCGACACGGCACGATTCAACTCCAGCACTGCTACTTCGAACTCCAGAGGCTTCACAAATTCGAAGCGAATTTCTCGTGGGACAAGGATGGGATGTGAGCATTGCTAACGTAAGCGCTTGCGCGTGGGCACGGAAAGGAGAACAAGGGAGGTCAGTGAGAGAAGAAGGAGTCACCGAGCACAGTAAGCTTGGTGTATTCACCATCAATCCCATAACTGGCTGATGAGCTTCGGGAGCTCAAAAGAGCCTACAATAACATCACTTCTACACTAAAACGGTGCAAAAGTCTCATGAAAAATTTTCCTCTACACGAACACCTCCTCCAAGACAACTGAACCATCTCTCAGACTCAATCTGCAGCAGCAAAATCCCGCCTCTCTCCACCTTGTCACAGACCAATGCGTCCCAATCAAATTCCCCTCCTCTGAACACAACAATTAAAAACTCGTTTCAGCAGTCCGCACAATCAGAGCGCCAAATCGCACTACAGCCTAGCCACTTCAAAAGCATCGTCACAACAAGCAGGGCAGAAGCATATACTTTGAATTGCAAGAATGTACGAAGAGGGCGTAAGCAAAGCAGCTGGAGAACTTTACCGCAAAAGCAGCTCCTAAAATCCGCTTCTAGAGCTGAGTGGCTTCGGTCGAATCCCACCAAAGCGCAACAGCGAGAGCACTTGCTGCCGCAGGGAATGGGCAGCAGGGCAAGAGGGGAATTGGCAGCCATAGCCAGGATTCCTGACAAAATCAAGTGGCCTATCTCGTTCTCTTTGGTACTACAACTCATTATCTGCTTCCAGATTGGCCCATGGTGATGCAGTTGGAGCCTCCGCGCCAGTCCTCCTTTTCATCCGTACATTCCACCGCTTCATTCCACCATCCGTCGTGGAATCCATCCACGTTCCCATGTGTCACTGCACTTAACAGCTGATGCATACTCTTGTTAAACCGTCTGATTTATATATATATATATATATTTGTGCCTTTCAATTTTCAGAGTTCTTGGCCTTTTAAAATTTTTATTTTCAAAATTTTAAAAATTATTTGAAAATGTTGACATATCAATCCAAGAATATGGTTGGCACATCAATTTTGTGATTTAATATATTTAGAAATATATAAATTTATTTATTATTTTATTTCATGTACTTAGTGTTGGCAGATTTTTTTCAACTAACTAAACTAGTTCATATTTTATTGGATTGTTTCTAAACCAGTTGGTGGGATGTTCAATTGGAATCAGTTTGGTTTGGTTTGAAAACAAGATATAAATTGGTTTTAATACAAACCACTATGTATTGTTGTAACATTTTTGTTGCATAAATACCAATTTCAAATACAATTCAACTTTTTCTACAATATTCAGTTCATTTCCTTGTATATTTTACTTATATTTCAAGAGTGAAACATTATGGTAAAATTGTACATATTTATGTTCCATCTTAAATAGGCAAAAATAAATAAACAAACAAATTATTAACATTTGTTGTAAAACTTTCAATCACCAATAATATTTGTCTTAAAGTGTGCCTAAAAGAAAAATCATTTTATTAATAATTTTTTTATTATTTGATATATATATATATATATATATATATATATATAGATATAATCAATTTGTTCAAAGCAATCATATCATTCTACATCTATAGTGATTTAGTAATTAAATAATTTTTTAATACAATATCAACTTTTAACTATGTATCTCTACCATTAATAGCTATCAACATTCATTTTAATACAATTGAGAAAACAAAACTTCATATATATGGAAAAAAATATTACTTTAAAAGCATATGAGGGTAGTATATATCTTTAATTTAAATGCACACCTTCCATAGTTATTTCCTATTAGTATCCAATTATGCAAAAAAAATAAATTAATGAATAATAATAATAATAATAATAATAATAATATCTTTAAAATTTAGATAGATTTTATCTTTATTATTTTTATTGTTTCTTATATTTCTTTTGACTTTTCCTAAAAGCCAATAAAGTGCCAATTATGGTGTTAAGATTTCAAGGTGGTAAATTTTTATTATGCATCTTCTTTATTTGTTTAATAATAATTAAAAATTTATTAATAATCAAAGTGAATAAAAATTATATATAAAAAAAGAAAAGATATGATAATTAAATATTTTATTGTGTCTATACTTAAGAATAGCTAAAAAGTAAATTTTAGCACCATAATAATATACACATTGCACAAATATTCTACTATACAATATTAAAATACCACTAAAAAGTTCAAATATCTATTTTATAATTATTTTTATAATTATAGCTTTTGTAATATGTCTAAAGAGTAAATAAAATAAAATAATAATAATTAATTTTTAATAGTAATAAATTTTGGAAAAAATTAGAATTTCAGAGATTTACAATCAATATATAAAAGTCGATATAGGGATATTTTTTCAAAAATTATAACATAGCAATATTTCCTTTTTTTTTAGATTTAACAAGTAAGTTGTTGTTACAATGGTTCAAAGGAGCCTAAAACCTCCCTTTCATACCAACTTGCGAGACATGTGTCTACTTGTCATGAACATACATATTGGCTTAGATAAAAAGTAATAGATAGAAGATAAATGTAAATAGATTTGATATTATCTTATAGCAAAGTTTCTTAGAAGTTTCATAGATGAATATTTGACTTCAAATGTATTTGTAGTTGAACAATAGGTTAAAAACTTAGCCAACAAGTTAATCATATGCCACATGTTGTTGTATTACAAGAAGTTTGGCTTGAGAATGCATTGTGCACTTGATTGTGGAAGATAAATAGAAAATTGCAACAATAAGTTTTAACAAGTCTAATAGATTCATAAATAAATTATAATTAAATATTAAAAAATATAATCAAACATCAATCAAATTCAATTAAAATTTTAAAGAAATTACACAAGAAACACAAAGAATTCCTAGAGATCCTTTAGAGAAATCATTAAGAAATAACATAGAAATTCAAAAAAATATACTAAGATAAAAATCTTAATAAAATATCAGAATAAAAATCTTAATTAAATCCTAGTCAAAATCTAATCAAACCTTGGTCAAATCTTAGTCAAACCTTAGTCAAACCTTGATCAAACCCTTATCAAACCTTAGTCAAATCTCAAATAAGCCCTAACCAAATTCTAAACAAATTCTAACCAAATCCTAATCCTAATCAAATTTTAAATCGACTCAAAATCCTAATCCTAATTCTAAATCAAACCCTAAATCAAATCTTAATCAATTCCAAGTAATTCCTACAATAGATTTGAACTTCAATAACTAATGAATTGTTGATTTTAATTCAAATTTTGTACACCTCTTAACAATCAAGTTGACAGTAAGTAAATTTTTTTTAAAAACAATCAAAATTACCAAATTGATCATAATCTCAAAAATGTGCTTCGATATCAATCGGCCTTCTTCTCTGACCTTAATGCCAATCTCCTAGAGCTAATTATTCCTGATTAAACCATTACTTTACTTCCAAATTTTACAAACTTATTGGAAATCAAATTGACTACCTTTTCAAAAAAAAAAATTGCTTCAATCTAATAAGAAGATTGATAGATATTTAAGAAAACCTTACTAGTCTTCAAAACCTTGAATTCTGAGACCATAATCTACGAAAACCTTCATGCTTTTCAATCTAACTGTTCGATCAAATCTAAATTCTTAACACACATCAAGGACAAGTATATCCAAAAATCCAAAAAATTTCACTTGTAGATCTATTACCAAATGCTTGAAATTGCCCAAAACATCAACACTATTTTATTTTCTAAAAACTAGAGTCACTAAAAATAGCATTGACTTTGCAAAGCTCTTACAAAGTCATTATCTATCTAAAACCCTCAAAATTAATGCCTATAGAAACCCTATCAACTTTCCTCTCAAATCCTTTTCTTTGATCAACCAAAGAACCTCAAATTGTCATTGGAACTCAATTTTGTGCCTAAGGATTTATATTCAAAATAAGTTCATAACTGGCCCTCTCTGAGTATCAATTTTTGTCTTTTTTGAAATAAATTCTATTAAAATCAACTCCCCATTCTTTCCTATATATGCCTATATATTTTATTTTTTTTAATCTACCTTATTTTGCCTTATTAATGGCCCTACAAAGTAAGTAGAAGTCACTTTTTTAAAAACGCAACATTAATATTAAAAAATTTACTACCTTCTTATCTTTTATCCATATTTTTTTACTTTATCTTTTAACTTGACTCTTCTATAATAAGATCTGTATTAATATCTTTCACTATATAGTCATGTTATAACATGACAATATCCTATAGCTTATGAAATAAGCGAACTAAATTGCATACATATACAAAACTTGTCTTATAAGTTAGACACATGTCTTACAAATTGAACAAGTATTGGAGGTCCTATAAAATGTTGTCACATAGCTTCTAGTTAGACAATATATATAGAGGGAAGAGTAAGGTCTTCTTAAGTCTTGTCAATGCCTTTCTAATCTTTAGTCTTATTTCAAAAAAAACTATTCATTTTTGTCTTTAATAACAACTATTTTAGTTTTAATATTTGATTAGTTTTGAATGAATATCTTTTTTTTTGAATTACATACAAATATATTGAGTTTTTGGTTCTTCAAGATCCATGTCTTTAACAGTTTGACAAGAGTACTAACTTATTATTTTTGACTTGTTTTTAGGAGTGAATGGACTACCTAACTTCTTTTGTTGTATTTTAAAGGTGGTGCACCATAATCACGGACATACTCATATAAGCTAGTAATTACATATATAAATAGGTGGAAGTAAATAAAAATAGGTAAAAGTAAGTTAATTCTAGTATTTAATTTAGAAGCTTCTTAGAAGCTTCATAGACATTGCTTTGACTTCATAGGTATCTTTAATTGATTTTCTAGATTAAAAACGTGGTCAACAAGTTAGCCATGTGCCACACATGTTGTTAGCTTGAAGATCAAGCTAATTATGTGGCCCACACATAGAAAAACCTACCTTGTAAGTTAAGGCATGTGTCCTACAAAGTCATCACATATTGGAGGTCTTATAGAATGTCGCTACGTAGTCCCTAGTTGGATAGTATATATAGAGACAAGAGTGAAGCCTTCTTCACTCTTGTCAACTCCTTTCTTGCTTCTAGTCTAGTTTTAAGGGTCCCTAGTTTTCTTATCGTTTGGCAATAGTCATTCCAGTTTTTCTTTCAATATACATACTTGTTTATTTATATTTTATTACCTTTCTTTGAGTGAAGGCTCACTTGTCTGAATTACTTTTTCATCGAGTTCTTGTCCTTGACAGATTGACAAGAGTACACCTACAATATCAGAGCTTTGTCTAATCTTGATTAAGAGTGGATTACCCCTTTTTCTTGATAAGATATAAGCATATTAGAAGTTGTGGATTACCCTCTTCTAAACTGATATTTTCCTTAGTATTTTCTTTGTCCTCAAGTCTTCTCTTCTATTTGTCTTGAGCAATATTAGACATCTTCTCTTTTCTAAGTATTATCATAGCAAAACTTGTTGAAATGAAGAGTGTAATGGCACAAATGCAAGAGCAATTGAGGGAGTTAATACTTGCGATGCATCAACTCAATTTACCACCACAAGGAGCAACAAGATTTGCAGGAAGTGAAGATATAGAAATGGTTGGAGCTGCTTCAACATCTGCACCAAATCATGTCTTTTCTCCTATGGTAGAATGTCCTACCAGTGTTAGAGAACCAAGAATTGCCCTACCTGAGAAGTTTGATGGCACGAGATC